ATGAAAAACTGAATATGAGCCAGCAACCTGCACTTGCAGCCCAGAAAGCCAATCATAACCTGGGCTGCATCAAGAGAAGCATGGCCAGCAGGCCGAGGGAGGTGATTCTCCCCCTGTACTCCACTCTGGTGAGACCCCACCTGAAGTACTGCATTCAGCTCTGGGGCCCCCAGAATAAGAAAGACATGGACCTGCTCGAGTGGCTCCAGAGGAGGGCCACAAAGATGATGAGGGGGCTGGAGCACCTCCCCAGTGAGAGAATTTGGGTTGTTTAGCCTGGAGGAGAGAAGGCTCTGGGGAGACCTTAGAGCGACCTTCCAGTGCTTCAAGGAGGCCTACAGGAAAGGTGGGGAGGGACTCTTTATCAGGTAGGGTAGTAGTGACAGGATGAGGGGTAATGGTTTCAAATTGATAGAGGATGGATTTAAATTAGATCTTAGGGAGAAGCTCTTCACTACAAGTGTGGTGAGGCACTGGAACAGGTTGCCCAGGGAAGCCATGGCTGCCCCCTCCCTGGCAGTGTTCAAGGCCAGGTTGGATGGGGCTTGGAGCAACCTGGTCTAGTGTCCCTGCCCATGCCAGGGGGTTAGAACTAGATGGTCTTTAAGGTCCCTTCCCACCCAAACCATTCTATGATTCTTTGATTCTATGATTCTAATTAGCTTCTAGGACAATGGCAAGATTAAACAAATGCAAAACAAACTATGAATTAATTCTGAGCACAGTGTATTTTATAAACTATTCTGCACAGCAAAGAGGACTACAAAGAAGTATCTACAAATCCATGATCATGATAATTCTGTACAGATTTCACATAAGGCTGAAGTGTAAGCAAAGCCAGATTATTTAAAATGTTATTGTTGCTGTTATTATTATTGTTTGCATGCTTGCAAAAGTAATGAATAGTAAAATAGAATCTTACGACAGTCGTTTGCCATCCTGTGACAGACACCACAGTAGTTTATGTGAAATTAACTTGGCAAATTTAGTGATGTTGCTCTTTAGCAAATATCCACATTTTAAAAAAGGGTCTCCTTTGTGTGAGACTAAAAGAAGATGAGATCTCAGTTCTGCTGAAAAGGGCTTCTGTTGTGTTATCTGGCCAAACCTTTCACTCAGATTTTCAGCCTCAGATCAGGTTGTTCAAGGTTGTTTCTTGTCCTGTCAAGTTTTGAAAATCACTAAGAATGGAGTTTCCGCAGTCTCTCTGGGCAACCTGATCCATGGTTTGATGACTTTTATTCAAGAAATAATTTTTCATACTATCTAATTGCAATTTCCCATGTTGCAACTTGTGTCTGTTGTCTCTTGTCCTTACACTGTGTATCTATAATAGTTTGTGTCTATAAGTTTCCATAAGGAAGTTGAAGACAGCAATCAGATGTCCCTGCTAGACTTCTATAGATCAAACTAACCCAATTCTCTTCTATTTTCTATGTATGTCATGTGCTTCAAGCCTCTATCCATCTTGGTGGCTACCCACTAGACTCACTTCTGTATGTCAATGTCTGTCTTGTACTGGGAAGCCAAAAACTTGACAGAATCTGCCAGATGTGGTCTTACAGGTGCCATGCATAGAATAACCACTTCCCTTAACCTGCTTGCTAGATTTTTAGTAAGCCATTGACCCATGAAGAACTGGTGACTCATGTGCAAATTGTTGACTGCCAGGATCATCGGGTCACCTTCCTCATATTTACTGTCTCTCCAGCTGGCCCCAAGCTTTTACAGCTGCAAAAAATTATTCACTCCCAAGTGCAAGATCTTGCATTTACCTTTGTTGAACTATATGTGCTTCCTGAGGTTCCCTCCTGGAGGTTCCATTTCTCCAGCCTGTCAAGGTCTTTCTGAGTGGCAGTGCTACCTTCCTGCATATTGACTGCTCCCCCAGTTTGGTACCATCCATGAACTTGTTGACATTGCATTCTGTCCCTTGGAACAGATTATTAATGGCACTCAAACAGCATTTGCCTCACTATCAGTTTCTGAGTATTGTTATGCATACCCAGCTGCCAGTCGGATTTGTGCCACTCATCACATTTTGAGTTCAGTGGTCCAGCCAATTTCCCACCTGCTTTACAATCCACCTACCCAAACCGTCTCTGTCCAGTTTTGGCTATATGGATAGCACAGAAGACAGTGACAAAAGCCTTGCGGAAGTCAACATAAACCCACTACTTCTCCTTTGTCCATAGTGCCAGTCGTCTCATCATAAAACGCAATCATGTTTACCAATCACGATCTGCCTATGATAGATCCATTCTAGCTGCTCCAAATCACTTTCCTGTCCTTCATGGGCCTGGACATGGCTTACAGGAGAGTTTGTTCCATAATTGTTTTGAGGACTGAGGGTAGGCTGCCTAGGCTGTAATTGCTTCGATCCTCCTTCTGTCCTGTAGAGGAAGGGCATGGCAGTTTCCTTTTTTCAGCCATCAAGAAGCTCCACCAATTGTCATTACCTTGACTGTAGCCTCACAATGATGTTGGCCAGCTCCCTCAGCATGCCTGGATACATCCTACCCAGTCCTATGGGTCTGTGTACGTCCAGCTGGCTAATTCAGAGAACTAGAACTAATTCACACTTCTCACACTTTTCAAACCTAAACCAAAACTTAAAAATAAACCTATGAATATTTTTAAGTGCATAAATAACTTTACCCACATAAATCACTTCATTGCTACAGAGCAGGACAATGCTACTACATAAAAACATTCAAATACACAAACGTATTGTGGAATCAGAGCTTTTTTAATGAAAGACTACCTATACAATATTCCATAAAACATTTATAAGCTCATACTCTGGTGTGTCATCTGGTGAACTTCAAGTTTTTTCAGTCTTACTTAGTCAAGTGCAATTTTCATAATTTCACTCTGTTTAAAAGTTTAACAGGATTCTCATGTTAAATACAAATAAATATATATGTGTACCAATCCAGATTTTTCAAATTCTAACCTTCACTGTTCACAGTCTGAAGCTTTGAACAAATCAAACTTGCATCTTCATATTTCGGGTCATGGATAGTGTAGTCAAAAGACATCTTCTTAAATGTCTGCAAATCTGGCCACATATCACCAGGCTGATGGTAGTATTGATCAGATTCTTCTTTTATGTCTATGATATTATTGAAAAATAAGAATTCATGTAATTACATTTTTTAAAAGCTCTTTATATTGCTATAGATGGTTTTGCTGTGTCTATTATTCCTGCATCATTTTTGCTTTCATCATTCTGAGGAAACAATATTATCTTGCATCAAGAGGAGCACGTTTGAACAGATATACCTCATACCTTTATGCAATTCTGGCTTTTAAACCTTTGTTATCAATTTAAGACCTTGTAATCTTATGCAAGCAGTTGGTGGGATGATGATGAAAACACTGTCAAGGGTCTGGTAAGGCTGATCTACCTGCATCCAAGCATTTGGAATCTTTCCACTGACCACCACATTTGTGAAGTCGGTTGAGGAAAGACATGTTATTCTCACTGAGGAAAACAAGCCCTTTTAAAGCTTCAGAAATTACAGTATTAAGTACAGTGCAGAGTTAAAGTCAAATGCCTCTTCCAGTGTTAAGGTCAGAGTAATCAAAGATTACTCTGGGTATGAGAAAAATAGTAAATGGTATTGATGTGATGTGTAGTAAAATCATGCTTTTTTCTGACATGGGCTAACTGACATAAAACCCCAAATGTACACAAGTCCTTACAAAATACTTTTCTACCTTTGTCAAGAGGCTGAAAGATCTGACAAGAGTGAAAAGGACAGTAGTGAGTTCAGTCTGGGGGTCAGTTGACAGCTACTGTAAAGAAATGTAACTCCGTGTCTATAAGCATAGACTAAATGATTATTGAGAAAAGGTCAGTCACTGTCTTTTAGTACCCAAAGTAAATATGAAACTTAGGTGGAATTAGTCAGATGGTGAGATTATCTTCATGCCCTGACTGTAAGTGACCTCTAAAATCCTGCCTAAAATACAGAGGATTGCTTGCACAAACCTGTCTCCTAGCAGACTGGTCACCTTCTCGGCAGGTTTTGCCATAAGCCTTGGGGGATAGCTGCCTCTTTCTCAAGCACAGCTCAGTGTGGAGGAAGACTCCTGGGTACTGCCCCAAAAAGCACTCAGAGAAAACAGCTGAGGCACAGTCCCACAGACTGAACAGCTTCCAGCCAGGGAGTGACAGAGGCAGCTAGCAGGCAGGTAGCACCCACCTGAGACTCTCCAAGGCTGATTGTGGGCATGCTTTTAGTGAAGAATTAGAGATATCCCATAAAATATCACCCATATTTTTCTATGTAATCCAGCCCTTAATTACTGAGGCTGTGTCAGAAATACATCTGGAAACACAGGGGAGTAATACACTGTAAACAAAGGAAGTTTGGACTAAAATTAGTCATTAGAGAGCAGGAACTCTTTTCCTCCCTCATGTAGTCTTACGTACTTAGAAAATATGACGTTGCTTCTTATGGTATAAATCTGCTAGAATTTCACTGATCCTTTTTATGTCCTTTACTACAAAAGTTCATCCCAATTTTAAACTCAAAACCAATGTCTGGATATAATTTAATATACATAAATGCTATTGATTACTTCCCAAGAAAAACAGAGATATGTAGTTTTCTCACTGAGGGAAAGGCTAAACTCCAAATGATGAGTAAAATAATAAAATATTCTTAAGCATCAGTTGAAGTTGACACAAAAATTTTCTTAAAATATTTCAATAATGTAAATGAACTGCAAAGGTGAATGGCATAGGACATACAGACAACTACTCTTCAATTTAACATAACTATTTTCTACAGTTTCCATAAGCAAATATTTTTATATCAAGAACTTACTAATGTTGATTTCTTCTTCATCATAAACATCCACTTCTGTCAGTCTAATCAGCATTCGGGACAAAATACTGAGGAACTGCAGATAGGCACCTGTCTTTCCTATCTGTAAATATATAAATGAGAAAATACAGAAGTAAACTTTCATTTTTCAACATGTTATTTTTCCATATATCTGGAAATTGCAGCTGCAGTGAAACAGAATATCAATATTCGGCACTTGCATATCCTGTATTTGCATAATCCCTGGCATAATTGAAATGCTTAAAATGCTCAACAGTCTATGCAGGAACGTAGTTTGGAAAATGCATTTTATATCACAGATCTAATTACAGGCTCATGCATAATTGAAATGCTTAAAATGCTCAACAGTTTTGTTCTCTCTATGCAGGAACGTAGTTTGGAAAATGAATTTTATATCACAGATCTAATTACAGGCTCACAGATGAGAATTTTCTCTCCTGATGTTATAGTTTCTACATAGGCAGTGAACTTCTAAAAATCCATACAAGCTCGTAAAATGTTCCCCAAAAAATCCTCAAACTGCAAGATAACTAAAGAATTACCTCAACGCTTTCGTATTTGCGTAATTTACCAGTACACTGACAGCCATTGAAGTAAACTGACTACCCTGAAGAGAAAAGTGGTATACATCTGTACGAGAACTTGTGCAGGCCACTTCCACTCCTGGAGGACACGGTATCGGTAACAATGTGTTCTTCCACCTCTGTGCTGAAAATATATAATTTCCCTTCCACTGTATTAAAATTACCTTTTAAAAGTCCATTTTAAAATTATCTTGATATTATAACTTTTTCTTTTCTTTTTTACCCCACCAACACACTATCTACATTTTCTCTTCATTATGCCAAATAGTATTATTGCCCTTTTCTAGTTTTTTCAGCTGAAAGGTATAAGCCACAGCCAATGATTCACTCAATGAATTGTTCTGTCTTCCACATAAATTTTGTTGATGATAACAGCAAGTAAATAATGCCATATCTAAGCAGACATCTTTACAAACCATTACAGTGAACAGGAGGCAGTGCACAATGGGTTTCAATGACAAAAAAGAAATCAGCAAGCTCATGTCACTCTCACAGGAGAATGAACACGTCATGATTTTGTGTGTGTATGTAGAGTTCAGCCTCAGAATGGCACTGATGTCCAGCTGACAACCTAAGACTAATGCCACACCTGTACAGGGGAGGTTAACATGCAATGCAGATCAGCTATGACACATTCTGCTGCAACTGTCTGATTTCACAAAGTGGTGTCAGATTTTGCATCAAGCCTGTATTACTACTGAATTGAAAACCCAGCTTCACTGCCATTACTGATGGACATGTCAGAAGCATACAGTGTTGAATTACTAAATATAGTATTGAATCTACTACTTTCCATATATGTCAAGTGAAATTTTTGTTTTCTCTCAACATTTGAGAAAGGGAGGCTTTGAAGCTGAAGCAAGAGCAGGTAAGCATTTGTTTTCGTCAAATTTCAATACCTGTTGTTCTTAATAAATCAGACTGCAGTTTAAACTGTTGCTTGCCAAGGGTGGAAAAGGGTATTGTCACCCCTGTTGAGGGTCGAATAAGCCTTTCGGGTACACATGGTAGACCACATGCTAGCACACAACTCTGTTATCCAGGAGTAAGACAGAAAAAAAGTGACTTTTAATAGAGGAAATGATAGCATGGACCATAGTCAGCCCATGGACCAGACATTTCTAACTCCCTGTCTGTGTTTTTATGTAAAATCCATAGAGACTAATGAGAATCTTTCCATTGACCCTGGAACAAGGCTCTAAACTTAGATGCAATGGCTATTGATTTGTGAGCTAAACAAAACCAACCTATCTTCCCACATCTGAGGCAAACGTGGTGATTCTTTGTTCTAGAAGAAAATACTTTCAATGTTTTCTCTCAATCTGAGATTGCCTTTATATGCTCTTGTGAACATACTCTTCTAAAGCATCTCCGATCACCCTTTTATTAAACACAGGGCGGTCTGACAGATTAACAGTTCCCCCGATTTCAAACAAATGAGAGATCATTTGTCAAAAGTACACAACCTGTTCCCTTGATATCAGGTATCTACATGAAAAACTAACTCCTAATCTTCTTGAAGTATATACTTTGAATTGTCAACACAACAACAGGCTGAAAACATTACTTTTTCTTTTTGGTAACTGTTGAAAACTTACACTATCAAAACCATGTTTTTTTCTTTCCCTGGGGAACCAGTTTTCACCAGTGGTTTTCAAGAATGTATCTGGGAGTTACGTGGAACTTAGATGAAAGGTATCAGTTCTCAATTGACTCAAGTGTACACAAAGCTATAGGGTCATGAGTCAAAAATGTTGGAAACCACAAGACTACAAGTGCTAGTCCCTAACCGTTAAACTAAATCATATGTACTCGCAGTATTCCATGCATCATATCTTACCCAATCTCATTATCTGACACATAAAAACTGTCCAGTACAGTACTGTGAGCTTTATGAACTGTTAGATATTAGCAACACTGCATGTAAAATGCTGGTGGACGCTTGCAGGAATCTCTCTATGTTTTCAGAACATTTCTCTGCCATGACAGAGATCATGCAGAGCACGTGGCAACATTCACATTTGGACTCCATTCACTTGCACATTTGCCTGCATTTGCTGCTGAAGAAATGAATTGGTGAAATAAAGAACACCTTTTCCAGGTCGTTTTCAGAAGATTTTCATAAAGAAGGTGAGAAAAGAATGACTTCTCATTTACAATCAATGTTTACTCCAGAAGGGAAGAACCTTGAACAACTGAATTTGTAGCATGCTCAGATAGGTAAATGCACCTTTTAAATTAATTGTATTGTTTTCTATATGTACCATCTCAAGGCAAAATGGAACTGCACAGAGTGTCTTTGTTTGAAAATACTGAATAGATGTCAATAAACAGAGCTTCCACATCTCTGCAAAGAGTCCTTGTCCCATCTGTCACCACCTCTCTTTTCGATAGTTCAGGCATCATAAGTAGCTGCAAAGAGTCCCTGCAAGCAGGATATGTACAACTTCGAAGCATAAAGCCCCATCTTTGCTCATCCTCCATCTCCCAACTGCAACAAAGTAGAAGATCTGCAATGAAATTTTAAACTGAATACATGATTGGGCTGTAGCTTTACATGTCTCTAGAGAAGCCTAGTCAATGCCATGTTGATCCTAATTAGTGACTCTGGGCTTAAGCACGATATAATAGATTAACAATGACAACAACTGATAAGGAAGTACTCTGAGCAAGGTGGTTTTCTCCATATTCTGTCTTTGCTCTGCTCACAAAAGCTGCAAACAGTTTAAAAGAATGAAGGAGCCCGGAACCGGGCTGCATTTTCATAATTCCTGAAACAAAATGTACGTGAGGGATGCTGCTACTACAGACAGCTCTACCTCTCAGAAAGAGGTTCCTCAAATAAGCAGAAGTACCAAGTGCCTTAACAGATAAGGTACTTGGGAGCCTGTATTCCCAAATAATAGAAGTATTTCTTTAATTTGTTTCTATCTACCTGAATTTGGAAGACAGAAGTTTAATGAAACAGCCTTGGAAGAAAAAAAAAATCCAGAAGGCTAGGAAGTAAAAATCTCAAATCTTGTGAAAATAGGATAACTAGAGAATTTGGGGACTGCAAAGATTTAATATTTTGGGTTTTATTTTCATCCTTAGTGCAAGTGATGATCTGGCCAATAAAAAAATAAGAATATGTTTACCCTGCAGCTCTTCATGCGTGAAGAGTGTAGCGGTAGATGAGCAAGAGGAAGGAATATGAACTCAAATTCTTCCTGCAGAAAATTCAAGAGGTATGAAGGTCTAGTTTTTGTGTCAAAGTCAGACATACACTACTTAAGAGGAGTGGAAAGCTCTCGAAAGATTTTGACCACTGAACAATGCTTACAATAGATACCGAGGACAGGCTGAAAACAAACTGTCTAAGAATCTGAGAGAGAGACATTCCAGTCAGAAAAAATACATGTGTGCATCCATGCTTTTATGTGGAAGTGACATGCAAAAGTGCTGTTGCAGCAGGTCTAACAGTAATGAGTTCCTTTTTCTAACTTGTTCCAAACACTGGACACTAGGACCACTAGAAGTGCTTTATTATTCTTACATGTTGCTGTAAAGTATCACCTGATTTCAGTCTTCACGTTCAGAGAAATATGGCAAAAGGGGAAATAATTCCATAAGGCTTTTCTATTTCAATTTCCAGATGAGAGAGTTCTTCACATACCACAGCAATGGTTTTCAAACTGTGGTCTGCGAACCAATGGTGATTCACAGAAAATATGCTGATGGTCCACAGACAGCTGGTTAACTGGTGCTGGCTCTTCTTCTTGTTTCCACTTGCTACATTCTTCTAAAACACAGCTAACAATATATATATTAAATATTTCCCTAATATTTTTTCTTATTTAAGCTGAATGGTTTATAAGCTCATGGTAATAATATTTTAACAGGAGTAGAGGAAAACCAAATAATATGGGCAGCAGTTTTCTTCCTTAGAAAGTGTCTTAAGATGTGCTTGCTTCATTTCCTGGGTGTGGTGCCACATGACTGAGCTGTGCTCACAAGTGGCTTCCACGCTTAAGGAAAATGGTAGTTCTAAGTTGTAATATCCAGTTAAAAAACAAAGGAAAAAAACCTTGATTTGCTGTTTGGGGAACTGTAAGATGGGTGTTTCTAAGAAAAATATTTTAGTGAATTTAGGCTTCCTCATAGGCATTTTCTTGGGTGCGCTAGGGACTAGATTTCTATCCATAGGTATGATACCTGTTGTACATAGTGGTGCGTATTTGTTCATACTCACTAACCAACGGCTTAACGTCGATGATGTGAGCAAACTTACAGATAAATACATAGACCTATTCTATACCTGTCCAGGTTTTGCTGCATTTCTTAAAGCCTCTTGGAAAAATAATGCATGCATTGCTTTGTAATATACATAATTGTCCTTGTAAAAATGCATCAGGTCTTCTGACAAAACATTTTGACCAGTACAGAAGGTAAAATGTCTCTGTGAGAGAATGGTGAGTGTACTTTATTACTAATTACCCTGACAGTGAGAATTATAATTTTGGTTCACTAATGTGCCTAGTTTTCTTCTTGTGTTGATTTCGTATTTTTTATTTTAACCAACAAATTGCTTCCTGATTCGAATTTCAGTAAAGTAATTGCTGCCTGATAAAGAAAACAATTTCTTCCTAATTTTTTAAAAGATAGTACTCTTGTAGTCTTATAGTTTGGCTGAGATGTTATTAACATTCAGATAGGTGCCGTCTAATAATTGTTTTTATTTCTGCCTATATCTCTTCAAGCATTGATCATTGAGTCCATTTAAAATGTTAATAATGTCAAACACACATGTGAGTAAAACCTATTTCAGGAAGCAAAATTATTTCTTCCCAAAAAGAGAAAGGTCATTTTAAACAATCAACGTACTACAGCTCCTTGTTTGGTTTACACAAGCTTTTAGTACTTTGGGAGGCTAAAATATAAAGGAAGCAAAGCTGCTGTCTTTTTCCTCATATTGAAATGAATGTATAGCCCTAAATTTTTATACTTAGGAAGATGACATGACATGTCTATTTTGTGCATGTGAATTTGTTCTGTGTGAAACAGGTACATTCTTCAGAAAGAACTGAGGAATATAAAATGAATAAATATGTGAAGTGTGTCCTTTAGGAGCTGATCCAACTGTATGACCTAATGCAAAACTAGGAAATAACCTGCGTTGTGGAGACAGCTGGAGAACAGATGGAGTTTCAAGTAAAAGAAGTGATACCAAGGCTGAAATTTACTGCTGTACAGAGAGTCAACAGGAGTTCTATTCAATATTTGAAAAAAAGAAAAAAAAGATTTGATAGCATAAACTCGTGAAAACCATACCCTAGAACGGAGCCGATGAATAAATAAGCTGCCTGTTTCATTATAATTAGTTAAAAGGCAAGTACCAAGTGTGTGAAGCATCAAAACCTTCTCACAGGTGTGTCGTATGCTCTCAGAAGTCTCTGAATGACTCTTCTGAGAATCACAGGTTTACATTTGTGACACATAACCAAATGAATACCAAATAAATATTTACTTATCGGCTAATCTGGATATGTAGGGTGGCTTTGGGAACAGTATATTTGTGTGGGTTGATGTGTATGCATATAAATTTCTAATAAAAATTGTTACAGGCTGTGTTTTCCTTTGAGATGGAAATGAACATCTCTCTTCCAGAATGTAAATACATACAACAAATGTTTTTGTGCTGCAGCTGAGTAAGAAATTTGGTTTCTTGAGCATATAATACCTCCATCTTTGGCAAACATGGACAATTTACATCAAAGGAATGGACAGTGAAAAGCTGCTTATCAGAGTACTTTCTGGAATCTTTTATGAATTACAGTAACATTTGCAGGAAGTTCCAATATGAAAAGCCCATTTATGCTCTTTCTACTCTACTGCACCATACAGTTGGAAATATGTAGTTTCCTTTTGCAATGGATGGGTATAGAAGAGCAGATCATGTGGCAAGTTGAATCCGTAACTATTTTAGATTAATTCTTTGGGTTGATATTACAATAACTGGAAACATGGGTCTTTGTCTCGGTTTGGATTTATCCTTTTTGACTTCTGAGGTTCACAGGAGGTATATATGCTCTCAGTAGGCATCGCGTCTCTTCCTGTGTTTTTGCTTCATACTTCAGCGGAACGTGAGAAGCACAGTATTAACTTTAGCACGTAACATGTGCATTGAACTAGGAGACACCTTGCTCAGAGTTAAGTGCTAAACATTCTTAGAGAATTTAGAAGAGAAGGAACTTCTTAGGACTACACCCATTTCCATATATCTTTTCAAAGTAATTTAAAAACTTTTGCATCAGCTAGTCATCTTGTAAATATGGCCCTGCTAATGTTGAACTGACCTTCTTGCATGTATTATTTACAATAGCATCTATTTCTGTCTGCTGTGTGGAGGAAACAAAGAACTTAATTACAAACTCCCGACTGTCTTCAGATTGATCATGAGAAAGTGGTTTTGTGAAGATCTTTGATCTTTATTTAAAATGTAAATTCATATTCAACTTTAACAAACTGAAATTATACATGAAATCTATCTCTTGAGAAAACTATCTTTTAAAACATTTTAATGGAGAGAGACAGAAAACATCGCTGCAGCTTCATTGTCTTTGAACTCAGGCTAACAGCAAGGAAAGGAATATTATTTTATTAGAAGGGATTAGGAAATAAAATAAAAGCAACTTAATCTCCACCAAAAAAAAAACCCTTCAAGTATGAATAATAATAACTAATCTATTTTTTCTTAGATTTTGATAAAATTAAACAAAATAAATCAACGATAATACCTTGTTCTTATTACACACCTGTGGTGGCCCACTCAGCAGCAGCCTCCTTGGGTGAAAGGTGTCCATTCTGCCCTCATTTCTATTGTTGTAGTCCATATGGATTGGCTTGGGAACCGTCCATTGGCGATAGTATAGAGACTGCTCCGTGCAAGTCATCATCTTGCTCATAAGAGGACGAAAAGAACTTGCCCACATAACAGAATGATAAGGCAAGAGGGAAGATGATTTGGGAAGTCCACTGCTGTCCGTAGAAGTAATAATGTCATAAACCAGTTTGGGCAGGAAAACTATGGGAGGCTGTTTTGATGCTTTGCTCATGGAGCATTGAGAGGTCTGTAGGATGAAGGAGTTATGAGTAGGCGCAGAAGAGGAAGAAGAGGAGGAGAAAGGTGACGAGGATGATGAGGTGATGGAAATTTGGGCATTTTTTATGTTTTGTTTCGTATCCAGCTGTTCAGTTACTAGTGGCAAGTGTTTGCTGACTGTTGTTTGTGCCCCCTTGTCTACTTTTTGTTTCTGCCTTTCGTAGTTACTTGTAGTTTCTTCAGTGCTGTTGCTTGGGACTTGGTGAGGGGATTTTGCTGTATCCCCTGCTGCTATTAAAGGAGGAGATGACTCACTGCAGAATGCTGTAACTGAAAGAAAATTTGTATTTCAACACAGTACAATTATCTCTGCTAGTCAATGCCATGGTTTGACAAAACAAAAAATCATTTAAATAGGGTATCCATCAAACATTGCAATCCCACTCCGTTCTTGTTTTCACCTTTCCTGTACAGGAAGTCATAATGGGACTAGTTTGGAGTATTCATCTCAACGCAGAAAGATGTCAGTGATTGTCCTGTCCTCTACTTTACTCATCCATTCCTTGCTTAAGGTGTTCAGATACTTTCATCTCTCAAGACAGTTACAAAATTACTGAAACCATCATTTAAAAGAGTATAAGAAAATAAATATTCACAGGGTATTACCTCATCAAACTACAGAAAAGTCTGCACAGACTGACATCTAGAAACCATGCTCTGAGTCAGCTCTGATCTGCCACTCATGTCTCTGCGTCACTACAGCACTTAGTCTGATCCAATAAGACCTGGCTCTCAAGTCTCTGGTGATACATAATGCATTAATGCATTCATACAGCTTGTGGTCAGCTCAGAGCACATAATGAACTCGCAAATCTTGGCCTTGAATATGTCATGTAGATATAGTCCACAGCTAATTACTGATTTTCTGAAAGCGGTACATTTTTACCTTATATATTCTAACTACTAAGGTTTCTTGAAAGTTTAAGGCCTTGTTTTAAGTGGTTCTGAGCATCTTTAATGCTTAGTGAATTCCAAAGAAGAGATGCAAATACTTTACAGATGCAGAGCAGACTGCAAACTGGTTGAGGAATCAGTCTCCACATGGTGCTAGGAACATCTGTCTGAACCTAAACATAGATAAAAACAGCTTTCCTGTCATGGTGAAAACAGTCTTGGTTCTAAAAACACCCACATTTTGAACTAATAGAAGTCTGTAGTTTCTCTTGGTCTCAAGAAATAGTAAGATGTACTCTAGCTGCATATTAATCTAAAGTAGCCAGTAAAGGACATCATTAGCAGTAAATACAAAAATATCACCAGCAGTATGAATGGTTGCAAGTAAATCCACTGTGACATCTCTCAAAATGCCAGTATTCAAGAGCACAGGAAAAAAAAAAAAAAAGAAAGGAAAAAAAGATTTCTTTAATCACAGGCAAACTGAGACCACAGAGCCACAGGCAGGCCACATGGACACTGTGAAACTGATGAGAAGCTCAACTTTAAAGAAGAAAAAAAATTTTCAAAATTAAAGTGTTGATGAAGCTTATGCAAATGTTTTCAAGGTTTTTTCCTTTTGTAACCACTACTGTGCCTGTAGAAAAGAAATATTGGGCCAAATATGCATGTCACCATGTTGAAAACTACAATTAGGTCAAAAAGAATTTACTGTCACTGACAAAAAGCAACATTTTAAAAAGCTGCATGAGATTGCGACTTCTAGGAAGTTATGGTACAATTTATATCCCACACTTTTATTCAACTCTCCTCTTAATATTATCTGCATAAAAAGCAAGCAAAGAAATTTATCAGACAAAAGAGCTGTAGTAGCTTTTATAATTGCCTCATGCTTTCTACATCAGTTTGCAGATTAAAAAGGAACTGAAGATTGAAAAAATTATCCACCTCCAAAAGAGCTTTCAAACAGTGCAGAATTAATGAGTAAAAAGTAAAAATAAAAATGTAAAAATACCAATGAGCATGCTCATTCTACAGATTTTCAATAGATTTTTAAAAAATGTGAAGCATGTTTTCTTTTTCATAAATTGTCATCTTGTCAGTAAAGACACTCAGCCATCACAGTACTAACGGAGGATTCATACCTCAGTGGCACATATTAAAGAAGTGCCTGGTTTAGGCACCCCGCCCTCTGATTATTTTTCAAGCAAGAAATATCTTATTTCTTGTATTTCAGAAGTCTGATACTTATTTTTTTAAAGTTATCTTTAGTGATCCCATTAAAATAGGCCTTACCAAACCCTTAGTGATTCATGCCTTTTATTATTTAGCTAATAAACTAAATAAAAGGTCTTTTTTATGTCCTAAACGTAACTTCATAGAGATAATAAAAAGGTCTTACTGGAAGCTTTTGAAGAGAGAGATGAAGATGCAGAGTCATGGGAACGAGATCTTTCTCTTTTCATAGGACTTCTTTTTTCTGAAGTGAAACCTGTTTCATGAACGGTAGTAAGGGAAAACAAAACCAAAATGTAATTTAAGTAAGCCTCTAAGAAGGCAGAGCTAAATTGTCAAAGTAGGGAAAAGTACACAAGAATTCGTGTGGGTTTTGTCCTCATTCTAACACTGTTTTCAGTATGGAGAGTATTTGTCCCTATCAGGCAATATTGGATCAGCCTGTGGTCTAATCTAACTATACTGAGCTGCCATAGGTTCACAAAATCAATGTTGCAGTCAGGAGCTGGTAATTTCTAGGCATCTCAACCATGTTTTCTCTTTCTACCCATGTCTTACTTTCCTCACTAATTCGGTGTCAGGGAAACCAACAGCCAACAAGCTCTATTTTCTCAGTATGTTAATGAATTTACCTGCTACCCCATACATTACAGCTTTATGGCCAGATTATTACTCAACTTCTGGTGACGGAAATCCATATTCAGATAGCCACCAAGGAAATTCACTTGAGGTTCCTAGCTTAGGCTTCTAAGTAAAAATGCTTGTTTCCATATAGTTTTACCATGATAAACAGACATAAGCACTGTCAGTAGAAAACTTGGACTGTAAGCCTATCTCAGGTGTTCTGAACTGGACTCTGGAGGAACATTCTGTACTTCATGGACTAGGAAAGCAGCCTTACGATTCAGACACCTAAAAACTTAGTTGCCTATTTGACTCAGATCGCATACAAACTTGGTGTGCTTCAACTAAATGGACAGAAGTATTCATCACATCTAAAGTAGGCCTCTATTGCAGACAGTCTGAGTATGACCTCAGGTCTTTCAGTCCTCTATGAAAAGGACATGTTTGATAAAAATAAATATTTTTGTTCTGCTATGCTTATTATAAATGAGTAAGAACTTAATAGGTGAACAGTAACCAGCTCTCTTCCTCCTCATAGTGTAGAAAAGGAAATGAAGGCAAGCAGTTTGAGATTTAAATAACCTACAGAGATACAAATTCTTTGTTTTCCACAGTTACAAGGCACAATAGACAGTAAAGAAAAATGTAAGGAACTTACTGATAACTAAAACTGCCCATCAACTATCACTCAAAAACACCCCCAACAGTTCCTGGGTAAATTACTGTTGCTTGTTTACGCATTTATATGTTCTTAATTGCTCTCTTAAGAAATGATAAACTCACCAACTCTACACTGTCAATTTGAATTCATGGACATTTTCAAGGAGTACTCAGAAGTTACTACGTTCAGATGTATATTCTACCCATGCTATTTAATGCCTTACAAACTACAGACTACCCAGCTGTACTATATATAGTTTCCTTGGGAGGAATCTTCATCATTGTCAGTATAAGCATAGGTTTGGTAGCATCAGTCAGGGACAGTTTAGGTGGAGTTGTCCCTGCTGTGAGGGAGGGCATCAGGCGGGTCACTGCTTCCAGACAGCAAGGCGCACACTTCCCCGCTGCAGGGAGGGCAACACAGCACAGCACCACGAACAGTGAGTGCCACTGGACGTACCCACCCGAGCTCCACTTTGCAGCTGACAGAACATACAGAGCAAAGGAGGGAGGGAGGCAGGGAGAGAAAGGAGCCAAAAAACAAAGAGAGAGAACAGATGCAAGAGCTTAAAATGCTGCAGCAGCAGCAGTCCCCAGGCAGGGAGGGTGAGAAAACACAGGTTCGATGAGATGAAGCAGAACTGAGGAATAGAGCTCACTTAGGAAGGCTAACTCCAGAAACCCTCACCGAGTAGGTATCCATACAATCCTGCTTTTTCTAATACCACTTGATCATCTTACATCTTCTTTTATTATCACTACTAATAATACCTTCTGTCGCTATTTCTTCATCTTCATAGTCAGTGCTGCTTAGTTTCTCTGGGTCACTTTCTAACACATCATTCACAACTGCTTTCTCTGTATGTATTTCTGAGCTCACAAAGTATGCTGCCAAGCCAAGTTCTTGCTCCAAGGTTGTCCTTACCAAAGAAGATGAATTTATTAAACGTAGGTCACAGTATCTCAGTGATCTGGAGAGAAACAAGAGAGGCTAGTAAGAAAACTGACTGTAATCTACTCCTTTATTTCCTTTATAAACACAGCCAAAGGGGAAATTTTTCATGATCTGCTTAAACTATAGATGAGATAGAATACAGGAGATCTTTTGTGCTTAATAACTTTACCACTGTGGTGCATACACTTTTCTTTTTCTTAATCCAATTATGCAGCTCAATCTAGTGCACTGAACATTAGCATCACCATAAGATAAAGAAAAATCTTTGGGTTCTAAGCCTAACACACAAAATGGGATTCGGCTGACCATACAAAAGCATCTGGCGCTCCAAGGCATCCTGTCTGGCTTCCAGCTGCCATTCCAGAAGACACTGATCTTTCTACACATCCTGTGGCATACATGCCAGCATTATGCAGATGCCTCAGTTGCCCTAAAGTATCTAAAGTAGCTATTCTTTTTCTTTTTTTTTAAATGCTCTTATTCTCTCCTCTAAACTGGGACAACTCATATGGGACAACATATTTTCTGAGATATTTATATCTTCCTATAAACAGAAGGTTATAATTAATAATACGGGGTTTGTATTTATGATATTAAAACTGCCAAAAAAATGAAAAAGAAACATCTTGACACTGAAATCTGTTTTCTTATCCCACAAGTAGCTACATAGTTAATCTTTAGCCATTTGGTAAACAATGGATAAAAAACTGCCACTGAGAAAATACTGGATCTTCTTACCGTGGCAAAGATTCCCCCTGTGGATCCATACCACTAAATATCAATATACAAGGCAAACCTTCCAATTCCAAATAGGTCTGTGGCCTCCAATCCACATCTTCAATTTTCTGCCAGACCTGTGTGAGGTAGGAAACACTGTTGGACATATCTGTATGGCACAGACAAAAATACAGAAATATACCCTTTTATCATCCATTATATGAATCAGTTTGTACAGTGGATGGATGTTCCACCAAGGAAAGCCACAGAGCAGAGCCAATTTCAACATAGGTAGATTGCACAATTCCTAGAGCATTACAGGTAGCAATCTGCCTGCTGTAAATCTGGACAGTATGTCACAGTCTGAAAAGCCTCCCAGCTTCTCAGCTGCATAGCACTGAGGCCAGGGCATAGACAGGTACAGGGGATATGGTACAACGGGCAGTAAAGCTGAGTAGGAGCTTTGCGGGAGAGAAGAGTACAGAGGGTTACTTCTTGTTGCAGATAATGTATGGATATCTGAGTCCAAGGAAGAAAATCAGCTAGGAACAAGATTTTTTCACCTTGGAGGAACAGGGGAAAGCTGTAAGTGTTCGACACACGCATAACACCATCCTCACTTGCTACCCTCTGAAGTCTCCTGCTGTCCCCCAAAGCTATCAGTTTTCCTGATAACTTCATGAGAAGTTTGATAACTAGATCTATTGTTTGACTGTTTAGCATCAGGCTATACTGCTTTAATCACACCTGTCAATCCTTTTTGCTGTAAGACTGATCTATGGATAAGAAGTACACAGTAGGACCAACAGTATGACAACTCAGTCTTTGATATTCTTACATGTATTTGTACTCTTATGCATGTCAGAGAAGATAGCCAGGATCCAATTCAGAACTAATACCGATATTTCAGAATAAGTTATGCCTAATTTATAGCAGAATGAGATCAGCATTAGGCCCTGGATCTCAAATGACTTCATCCAACAGGTGTTGAATCAGACATAGTAGAGTGTGTACCATATATATGTTACACTGTCCTAGAATGTAGATATAATTTTCCTTTGGTGATGCAATGATGATAATTTTATGAAAAGCAAGGGAGTATCAGAGGCTTCTGTTAAACAGATGACCCACGACTCTGGACCTAAAGGATATAAATTAACCCATAAACCAACCCATGGTCCACAGAGTCCTGAGCTGTGAATAGCGCGGTGCTCTAGGACCCATAACTAGCATCGCTGATTTGATGCCTTCATGCCACCTGCTGGTGACAAGAATAACATAACTCTCAACTGGTCTTTTCACACTATGAAGATTTTGTGAGAAAACTCTGCTAAAACTGTGACAATTTTATTTGGCTTTTTTCCTTATCACTCATGGTCCCTGTAGATAAAAGCAGTTTGACGGTTCAGGAGGGTTGCTGCTGGAAGTCAAGTTCTAGCCATATTAGTTAATACTCCACTGAACATTAACCAGCGATAGGACAGTAGAGGTGTCATAGATAATATGTTTAAAAGATAAGTCATGCTCCTTATTCTAGTTATTATTTTTACTAGTAAGGCCCGCACTTCAGCTCATGATCATAACTCCCACCAGCAAAGTCTCCCCACCTACCCATCTAATGAAGCTTCCCAGCATATGCCATTCTGCAAGTTACCTTTAGTTGCTCCACAAAGTGCTTCCCTATTGTGATTCCAGAATTAGGATTTCCCAAGATTATTTCAAAGTTATCTTCAAGGGCTAGTCTTTCCCTTACATTATACAGACGTTCATATGCCACTGCAGCCAGCGGAGTACATGGAATTCTCAACACTACCATGAGGCCATGACCACTAGGACATTGTCTTGAAGAGTTTATTAGGTTTTGGGTGATTTCCAGAGTTTCAACTGAGGTGTAATTCTTCATCTGAGAAAGACCACACACTGCCATCATAGCTGCAGAGTAGTGTTGTATGAGAACAAAAGTCCTTATCACTGCACTGTGTAATCTGGGGAACCTGAAATAAATGGTGAATTACATAGTGAAGTATTAAAGGCCATAGTGAAAAAGCTAATTTTTATAAAATATAGTAAACTCAGGATTTTCTCCTGTAAAGAATCCTTCATATCCACTATACAACAGAATCTCACCAAATTGCAGTTGCATAGTCTTTGCAAGGTATCATTTCACAATATCAGAACTGGTGTTGTCTCTCCATTTCTTAGTAAAGATTTACTAAGTAGTCCAGTAAGGTTACATCACTTACCAATATTTTACCGCTGTTACAAAATTTACCACAGAATATTTGCTAAGGCACTCAGTAACATCACCAATCAAAATGATATTATCTTATCAATGAGAATAGTATTCTTCATTATATATTATTCTTAGGGGGAGGTGGGGAGGTAGGGAGGTGGGGAGTGTTTCTCTTGTTTTCTTACTGAAGCCCTGAACCAATTTACTCTTGTTTCCAAGAGGACTGAATACGTAGGCAACATCCAATGAGCACTCCAAGTTCCCCAGCCCGGGTACACCCTATCTCAATCCTCACTCTATGGAAGGGAGAGATGTGGATATGCAATCGCTTTCTGTGCTCTGGTTTTCACAGAAATGAAACCCAGGTGCACATCAAAAAGAGGAACTATGGCTTGCTCAGAAAAGTGCCTGATCTATGTGATCAGAACTCCAAAGCACCCTGTAGGAACCCCCAGCAGTTAAGTATGGATGTACTCAGTCTCCCAGTTAGCAAAACAAATTCACAAGATTTTAGTTGTCCTGTCTCATTCTTCTTACAGATCCCAAAGAGTTCATCCACAGCTGCATGCATGCACATAATAAATCACTACCCTTTTGCACTGATTCTAGACTTGCTCCACAGGAACCAAGGAAAACTGATGATGTATTTTCAAGCTCTGATGATGCTCATAAGTTTTAAGTGTACAAACCACATTGATGTGTCTGCTTCTCTTTGTGGTCCAAGTGCAGTCTCCATAGATTCTATACATCAAAATCAGCCAGGGTCAGCAAATGATGACAAGAGTAATAATACATTTGAAATTGCATGATGATGCAATGTTAGATTATTATAATATAGAAGTAGCTACTGGGCACGACAAGAACACACTTTAAATTGGGCTAAACAGTGTGCATGTTCATAGTAAGAGGTAGCCTAGACTGATTAGATTACAGGCCAAATATAAATGAAAAAGATGGGAGAAAGTAAGAATGAGTGAAACGCCCTTGAATACACAGCTGATTTGTGGGACAGTGAGGGAAAAGAAAAAAGAAACAGGCTTCTATCTAGTAACTCAAGTCACTACAATGAACCTCCAAAATTTCCTGTGTTAAACAAAGGAGGGTACCATACCTCTTTCCCAAAGCCATGACCATTGCTTCAAAAGAGCTGTCATACCGAAGTAATGGAATACTATGTCCAGAGAGGGTGGACTCAATGAATTCTGACAACCCAAAGTATTTCTTGCTTTCATGGTACAAATCTACACCCTAAAGCAAATGAAGCAATAAAAATATAAAGGTAAAATCTATAAATTATTAATTTACAATTGATTAACCATTTGTGTCGGATATATTTGCAATCACATTCTCTAATAAGCATAGATCTACACAGACATATTAAAGAAAGGAAAGCAAGAAACAGAATTAATTTTTCTGAGAGAAGTTGGACGCAATTTTTCTTGTTTCTTTCTCTCTCCCCCCACATATACATACACACAGACAGAACAGCTATGTATGGAATAAATATGCACACATATGAAGAAAATCCACGTATGTACATATATTTGTTTGCAGTAATCCACTAGAGACAGATTTTCAGACAGTTTCCATTTATGTAGCTCAAAGATTTTTAGCAGAGCTACTACACTTTATAGAAGATATAAAATTAATAAAGAAAAAAAGCAAGAAATAACAGGATAAGCAAAGGGAGAAAGAACTTGCCGTAGACTGAAGAAGGAAAAGATGTCATGCAAACTTCATTCTTGTTTACAAAAATCATGGGGCCTCCACAGTTTCATCAAGTACATAAATGTAAAATAACTTACGAAAAGCTCACAAAAGCACCTCAAAGCATCTATCTTACATTGCTGTATGAAGAAGGCCAGTGGATCTCATTGTAAGGGCTGATGTGAGTATGCTGTGTCTGCAGCGCATAGGGGAAGGAAGTCACATGGAGCGTCACAATATTTGGTGCCTCTTTCACCTCCCTGCAGTTCAACAGTCTATCAACAAGTCCTGTAGACAGTTCTGTTTGAGGATAAAGGCTATGCATAGCACTGCAAAAAAGAAATCCAAAGCTCTCCAAAGTGATCAGCACAAGCGAACATTTGTGTCAGTGGAATAGCTTTAACCTGGATGTGAAATCGTAGTTAAACACATACAAGGAATTTAGGTCTCTATTCTTTGCCCTGTTTTTGTTGCATAGAAGGATGGAAAAAGAAATGCAAATTATTTCACTGCCACTGAAAATTTCTCTAACTCTGATAAGCTCCCTAGCTAGTAAATTACTGGTCCTTTAACATCTACCAGAATATGAGAGATAAAGGATGAAAGGAAGCTAATGTTTTGGCAGTTACCAATAGAGTCCTGTAGTAACTTTGGCCAGATTGTGCTGCCCTTAAAATATGATTCTTACCTACAGAAGTCAAGATAGAAAATGACAGACAGCGAGTCAGTATGACAGAAAAACAGAGGGAATCTACCTTTGACAGAGTTATTATGAAAGGGAAGAATAGTTATTGTCAGGGCAAGTGCAGTATCACGGAACACCTATGGTCAATTCCTTGCTCCAGTATAAAACTTCAGTCCAAATTGAATTTTTGTCATTTACCTGCAGTGACTAAATTACAAGCCTAGTCAGTGCAAGCTCCTTCCGTTACCAGTAGAGAGAGATAAGTAATTCCATACATTGGCTGTGTCTGCCCATGATCTAAGTCAGCCCTCAGAGATGCTCGTGTCTCTGTTGTGACTATGTGGGCAACACTAGGCAATTACACCCCTGTTTCAGGCACCTTATTTAATTGACTTCAGTTAGGTGGCATGAATCCTGCTGTGCAGAATAGTCACTTAAATACTTGTCACATGTCTTTATTAGATAAGAGGGGAAAATATCAGAGTTAAGCAGCAATACCGGGTACTTCCCTACCACTCATGAATGAATATGAATATATTAATAAATGCCTTAAAGGCTGTGGCAGCCGAAGAGGTCATGTAAGTTCCTAAGATATAGAGGATTTACACACGAAACCCTCACATGCAAAAATAAAGCTTTGGTGAAAATCATCATTCTTAACCAGTGTGAAAGACAAGACCTTGTCATTTGATTCTCAAGCAAGATTCCATAGCTTTGATTTCAGAAACACCGCTGTTGGTGTTTCTGGAATTCAGTATGTTCTCCAAGCTCCCCAGTGCCTCAGGAGCCAGAAAGCAAAAGCAGTGCAACTTCTTAGCAGGCATATTGTTGAGAAGCCAAGGAAACAGGTCTCTGTGAGGGGAGCAATGAGTTATGCAAGTGAGCTGATGGGGAACTTGGTAAACATTGGACAGAAAACTCCCTACTTCCCTGAGAAGTCTACCTGGCATTACTATGTACCCACAGAAGCTTTCAAGTCTTACAAATCAGTCATTCTGGATAGAAAAAACATTGTATTGGAAATTTTCCAATCAGTTAAAGAAATAAGCAGTAGTGTTGGCTCACTAATTGTCTACTCACTGTGGAGGGTTTTTGCATGTTTTACAGCCCAGAGGACACTGACAGAGGATAATGAGCTCCATGTGCTTTCATAGGAAGCTTTCCTTTGAACAAATGACAACCAGCCAAAAAAACAATAGCTGTGGCTGAAAGAAGATAAGAATGTTGAGCAAGAAAAGCTGAAATGTTCCACTGGGGCATAATATAATAAGCAGGATAAGAATAAGGACCTTAAAAGAAAACATGTTTATTCAATGCATGGGAAGTTAGAGTTAGCAGAATGATGCAAACAAAGACGACGGAAAGGATAAATTGGAAAGCTCATCTTGAGAGCTAATGCAAACAATAATACTTTCTCTAAAATGAGTTACAGTTTTCTTACCTCATTAGATCCCAATGTGCATGATCATGGATGAGGACAAACAGTGTGTGTGGATTCTGCATAGAGTTTTGTAAAAAGACTTTGAACTTAATCTGGGCCTCTGCATCTAGTTTCATAACATACTGTTCCACCCTCTGCTTTGTAAGATGTTCCTTTTCTAATCCAAGTTCTAATAAAATACCTAAAGAAATGGAACAAATGTCAGTATTTTCAGATACAAATGCATTTAAAAATGCCCTGCAAATCTCTAATAAAGCTAACTAATGAGCACCTGAGTGCCAGAGGTGAAACAAAGTCTGCTGATAAGTCACTTCAGAGGGTGGAACACAAATCAAGAAATCAATTTTCTCGAAGGAACCCAAATCAAGATTTTGAGTGCTGGAGTCAGCAATTGAGCAAATATGAGACAGCAATTTCTGAGCCACTGCTAGCTGGAATGGACGAATCTGATGTCGTTCAATCTCATAACCTGGAAAAAGGCAAAATTCTGTTTAGATATATGCCCAAAGTCTAATCTAACACAAAATGTTAGAGTCTGGCAAAGAATGACTGATCTACTCTCTAAGGTACTTTACTTATGAACAGGAGTTCCAGTTTATGAAAATCTATATGGAATACGCAAAGAGATCTTTCTGCATTTGTGTATTTTGGTCCTATAAGTCTCTTAAATGTCTGAGAGCTGAAAGTGAGCTTGTGCAATAGCATTCTGTTACCACAGAAGTAAGACTTAGAGCTTCAAAGACTACAATACCCAGTGGAATGAAACAGAGCATCCATCAGTGTAAATCTGAACATCCCAAGAGATGAGTTGCTGTTTACCTCAGGACCTTTGCCTTCAAGAGCCTACGACTCTGCCCAGATGGATCTAACTGCACACCCAGAGACCTGGTCTCAAGTACCCGACTCTTTAGAAAATCCTCCTTACTTACTTGTACACGGAGCTGTTCCAGTTCCATTCAGTGCTGTTGGTTTATTCACTGAAGTAGAAAGTGATGAAGAGATATGCCCTTGGTTTTCCTGATAAAATTTCTCCAGCAAAAGATCAATGTCACCTTCTATCAAATTGAAGGGATAGTGGAATAAACATCCATGTTAATAAGAGCTGCATTTCATACTGACTTTGTTTTGTATATCTTAAAGAGCTTTATATGTGCTAGCTAGTTATCCCGCCCTTGGCTTACTGACTGTTTTATGCAGGAACCCTCTCGTTATTTTCTATTGCATCTGTTTTTACAGCATATCACAAATAAAATACAAATCAGGCCAGGGAATGACAGGCCAGCTCTGCAGACCACTGGCTAAGGCATTTATGGAGGATGGTAGAAAACTAACCTCAAAACCCTGACGCAAATCAGCAACAACAAAGACATGAAAACGGCTTAGTTTATGTTCAGACCACGGAGCTATACTGTTCACTAATAAGGATTACAAGAAGCTGTGGGAAACCTGATAGATATTTTTAAATCTGTAACATTTTTGAGAGACAGAAAGAAAAACTGTCTGAAAGAGAAATACGAGTTTTGTAGCTACACACAATGCTGAAGCACGCAAGGTATGTTTTATTGAACTATGCATATCTGTAAATATATCCCAGTCTATTCACCAGGGGCCCTGCTTACAGATGAAACCTATGCAGAGAATACAATATGCCTGAGTGCTTAGTCATTTTCTCATCTGTTGAAAAGATGTTTGAATGTATCTGCACTGAGCTCAGAAAGTCTGCCCCATGAAGTGCAATCCAGTGGATACAGATGGCAACCATTTTTAGGGTGCTCATTTAATCATAGAATCATTAGGTTGGAATAGACCTCTGAGATCATCAAGTCCAACCGTTGACCTAACACCACCATGCCCACTAAACCATGTCCTGAAGTGCCACATCTATATGTTTTTTGAACACCTCCAGGGATGATGACTCCACCACTTCCCTGGGCAGCCTGTTCCAATGTTTGACTAATTGTTCTGCTCAAACAATAGCAATAGCAAAAGTGATTTTGAGAACCATACTTTGAAGATACTAAGAGCAGAAACACTAACATAACTACTTGATGATTCAAAGAAAACAAGTTTCTCTTAAGCGACCACTCAAAATATCATGACACATCCAGAAGGGTTCTTGTGATCGAGGTACAGATTTACTGATGTGACGCAAATGTCAAAGGGGACTTTGTGACATCCCATTAACACTGACAAATATGCTGCATTTGCTCTAGCTGTGTGATACAGTTTAACTTTCCATGTGGCTGGATCTATCCCTAGATAATCCTGCTTGTAGTAATCCTCAGTGTACTCAGTCCAAAGACTATCTGGTAACCCTGGCTTTCTGCAATTTTCCTCTCTTCCACATGCATCAAGATCAAGTCCACAGGATGGTAAGTCGAAAGGGCAGATCCTACCTTTCATAAAATAACTCTGTTTTATTGTGGTCTAAATTAATTCTGTGCTTAGGGTAAAAGAATTTACACATCCATATAGATATGGGCTTGCACAGTATATGGATGGATTTGCATAGCTAAGAATAGTATAGTTCAGCTATTTGCTGGCATATTTTTATGAAATTGAGGGATTTTAGAAACTGACACATTTAGGAGGAATTTCAATTCAAACGTACTTTCATAACTCTGTCCTGCATTTTTTATATATTTCTAATAAAAACTTGCCCGTGGAAAGGTAATGAGCACAGCTATTTTCTTTGACTTAAAAGTTTCAGTGACTTGGAAACATGCCTCCTTATAAGCTATTAGGTACCTGGGCAGAGTGTGCTAAAGAAGGACCCCAGAGTTTCCACTTTCCCTGTGACCAGCTGATAGTTAACTTCTTTTTGGTAGTCTGAAGGAGTGAGCATGCTCTCAGACAGAACTCTTGCCTGATACTTTCCTAAAAGACAAAAAAAAGTAATTTTGAAAGCACTCCAAACTAAAGTTAAAGATGTTCTAAGTCATAATAAAAATACTGCCCAGCTAAATGAATACCACACACAGAAAAATGGCAGAGATGAGTCTTTTCTCTCTCCTATGCCTGTATGCACCAGATATCTGTAAGATTCATGTTTTATAATTCTTTGTGCTTCTTTCCCAATTTAGGAAATATTTGTTGATACAGTATATAAAAAGACCATGTAACTAGTCAAAGGGATCATCAGTTATCTTACACCCATAATGAATCCTTGAATGGCTATTCAAATAATTTATTTAGTTATCAGCATAGCCCTCAAGAGGTTGTTGAAGGGAACAACATTGAAAGACCATTTTTTAGAAGCTAAGAAAGTGTTCGGTCCTCTGCTCACAGTAATATCCCAGTCACATAGAGAAGGAGAGCTTTATGCACTGTGCGTGCTGTAACTGGCTATTATTTGTTCGCAGTAGTGTTGGTCGGGATGCCTTGGTGAGAAAATGGGTAACACAGGCAGAATGTGGTTTGCTGGGGAGAGACTCATCTGTGCAGCATCAGCTCGGGTTCACCAAACCCCATTACTTGTTGGCCAAAGCTCTGCTTTCTGAGGCAGCTAATTGAAACTCCAGACAAACTCCTCATAGCATTGAATTGCTCCATTTTGCCTGGAGAGACACCCTTGGGATCTTACCTGTTATCACAATGCAGGAATCAATGGCTCGATTTCTGCTGGCACATATGATCACCACGTAGTTTGTCTTTAATAATTTTCCTTCAATGAGTAGCTTAAACATTTCTGAAAGCCCTTCAGCCAGAGAGTAGCTGCACTCAATGATATGGACACTGTCATTACAGGAGCTAGCTGCAAGCCCCGCCAGCCAGGGAAGCTGGGCTGAAGTCACTGGTGCGATCTGGCTGGGCACTTGGGGGAAGGTCTGTGGAAGAGCCTGTTGGTACTGACGGATTTCAGACAGGTGTGATTCCCGCCATGAACGCATAAATATTTGTTCCAAATCCTCAATCAGAGGGACCTGGTCTGAGGCTAAAAAATATTAAGAGGAAAGTATTAGGAAACAACTAAACAAAACTGTTGTGTTCAAAACAATTTTTTTTCCAAAATATGTACTTTTTTAGAAATGATCATGTTTCGGGTTTCTATTGCCTTTAGCAGATGTGAACCAATTTTTCATTTTGAAGTGCCTTTGTGATAGTCACGTAAAGCTGCCCTAACTGAACCTGAGTATCAGTAATTAGAAATATTTAAGAGGTTTAGTGCTGCCTGTCTCAGCATAACACTACTTCTAAACCACGGACTGTATGCAAGAGCAGTGAATTACAGTTCCTTTCCTTTTTTTTATTTTTAGTTGCTGAGGCCCCAGGTTATAGAAGAAGATGAAGCTTACATGATTATATTTCAATCTGTCTGGTCTTCGAGAACTAATTATTTAGTTTTGTTTCATTACCACAAATGAGATTGTTTAACATCACGTCCTGAGACTGATACTTAATATTGTCCCACCGTAATACTCCCTTCCTTATTTGCTGGCATGTAATACATTCACTGCAGTCTATCTGGAGGCAAAATGATCTTACCTAGTTGAACAAGGTAGTAGACAGTCAGTAAGAGCTGCATTTCCTCTGAAATAGGCTGTATTGTGGAGGCACCATATTGTTCATATGCTCTAGATAAAGACTGTGAATTTCTGTAACAGGTGTACAACAAAGGACTCACTATCACATCATTAATGTTCCCACAAAGATATGGGAAGTTTCCATGACCTACAAAATAAATAATGTTTGTACACATCACTTTAATTTCATAATTTCCCATGTATACATTAAACAGTTTTAATAGTACACCTTTCAAAATCGACAGCTTTAGCAGTGGGATGTATCTTTACATCTCTTACACATAAGATTTAAGGCCTTGTTGAGGGGTTGGGGGTTTACCTTTAAAAATAACTGGCTTTGCTTTACAGATTTTCAGCAAATTGTCAGGAACTGAGACTGGTTCTCCTGAGCCCACCATTGGAGATGAGGCTGGCCCCACCAAAGCAGAATGTGGTAAAGATGATAAGCTTCCTCCATCTAAGATTTTAGACATATTATTACTGGAGTCAGGACTAATAATTATTTCCTCAAAGAAAAGTTATTCAACATCTTCTCATACTCACATTTGATATCAGTATTAAACACTTTTATTGGTTACGTGACGCATATCATGAGCTGTTACTACAACACATACTATTATACTAACTTTCCTGGAAGACTAATCATATTGTTGCAACCTTGAACATCACACATGCATCAAAAGATTTTGAACTGTTTATAAACAAACAGTTCCAGGTATGGATGCAATAATACAGAGACTTAGGTGATATCAATGCACAAACAGTGCATATACGATTTGCGTGTTCTGTATGCTATATTCAGTTTCACTGCTTCTAAATATGTTTTCTTGCTGTAGTAAGAAAGAAAAAGTTAATATTCAATGTTTGCTCAATCCTAACATCTTCAGGGTAATTTTAATTCAAACAATAGCACGTTAAAAGAAAACATTTTGGGGAAAGCAGGGTTATCTCACAGCATGTCACTCCAGTCTATATATAGACTATAAAATCCAAATGCCAAGAACACAGTGACAAATAATTGAAACAATGGATGGTACCTTGACCTGGGCTATAACACCAATTTTAATATCCTAAAGATGTTGCGGTGTCTAAAGGACACAGGCAGCTGTTGAGATTTATTAATGATGACTCAATGACTGGATCCTAATGAAAGTTAAACTCAGAGCCTCAAAAAGGAATCAGTGGAAATGTAGCACCTAAATGTAGATGAGCATGTAGGTACCAAACACCTTTCAAAACTCTAATACAAATCTGCACAAGTCTTTAAAATATTTCTTTTCCCCCATTACTTTCTGAATAATGAACAAACATTATCATTACCTTGGGTATGGCTTACCATTTTTAATTCTATTTGGAGCCTGCGGGTTGAGCTGCAAGTTCCAAGTTTCAGTGGATGATGGAGATTCTGGTGACCAACCTTTATGGCGCTTTTTTGGAGGCCCTGAATTTGTTAGAGTGCCTGAATAACAGTAATATTTCAGAAAAGTATTAGAAAAAAGTGTATTCAGTTTTGTGCATGGTAATTCAATATGTTTTGATAGACTGATTGTGTGCATTAAGTACTGTGGTAGATAGAGTCAACTCCATGAATATAGTACTTTTTAACAGGTTTCATTTTACTTTGCTATATCCTGCTTAAATTTCTGGGAACTTTCTGGTGCAGAGAACTCTTAATTATCTAGGTAGACGTCACTTATTTTATACCAATGTTTAGTTTGTACTAAGAATAAGGTAGTAAGAATGAGACATACTAAGAATGCTTCCAAGTGTTAACATTTTGACATTAACACTGTAGGCATTTTGCTCCTTTTATATCTGAACACATGACTCTGTTTCATATAACTTATTGTAAAATAAAATTCTCAAGGTTTTCAGGGTAATATTAATATCTATGAATTCTTTTCAGAAATTTTCCCATTTACAGGATTTTCACCATTTCTTTCTGGTTGCCATCTTTGGTTTTATGTTGTTCCATATTAACTCCTAGTAAATTACTTCTGCACTTCCCTCTTATCCACATGTAGCTCCAACACCTTAGTCTGTAAAAACATAACTTTCTCACAGTTTTTCTAGGAGCTCCTGATGATTATTTTCTTGAATTTTCTTTCATTAATTTCTGGAATCTTCTTGTGCAGTCCTGCAAACTCCCAGAACTATGAGCTTCCACTAACATCAAGTATTTATAATTATTGAGAGCCAACGGTCCTCCAGGAATTGCTCAGCATCTTGCAGGATTAGGCTGTTTCTATTTCTGGATGACTATGCAGCGGTCGTAACACTACTTCACACCAGCAGGGCTGTATCTCCTGGCAGAATGGTTAGTCCCGCATAAAATTCAAGACAGAGTAAGTATATTATATAAAAAGAGGGGTTTAATTTTGCAAAAGATATTAAAACTAAAAATAAACCTGAATTCGTTTTCTAGATCTAGAATAGCATTGTTCACTTGCAGAAGAATTTCACGTTGAGATTTTCAAAGATGACTTTGTCCTTTAAACTCTTACCACGTGAGGGCAGTATTTACCCATCTGTGCTAATCGGACTCCTTTCGTTTCCTGGCATAATAGTGTGACAAAAGTCACAAGATATTACAACAATACAAAGAATTTTTTATTTGAAAATGCTGTGCTCTTTCCTGCAGATATATTGATGTGTGAAAGTCATCCATCTGAAATGAATTGGTAAGTATATGCTGCTGCATGGAAGAAAGAAATCAAGAACCTGAATAGATAGTGAAAAAGAATTTGGCTGTGATGCCAGCAAGGAAACTTGGGAAGACTTATTCTAAAACAGCTATAGAACGTTTCTAGCCATAGCGAAGACCAACTTTCTTGCTTAAACAAGCAAGTGATACAGAATACAGTTTGTGACAGAAAACAATTAACAGAAATCATGATAATAATGGTGCAGTGAGGACAGTTTTTTTAATTAGGAGCCAGTTGTGAAAGTCTCGTACTCAATCCCAAGGTGAACTGCAACACAGGAATTATCCTATGAGTGATTACTTATAAATCTTTCTTAATTCCCTTCACAAAACCTGTTGGTGAGATTGATGCTAACTGACACATTCTTCAAGAACCTGGATTCAGAATCTAGTCTGTACTTCTATTAAATGAACGAACTCTAAATGTAATGAAAATCTTCCGATTAATAATCTGAACTGAAACAAAACTATGTTTGAAAACATATAAACATTTTTTTTTCCTGAAAATTAACAGAATTTTAGTCAGAAAGAACTTGGAAGGGAATAGTAATTTCTTTTTATACAGGAAATTATGATCATATAATTTCTTCAATGCTTCTATAATACCCATAGAATACAGAGTTCAGGATCATTAAACAACAAATGCATACAAATACCTAACACCGAAGGTCTTGTCAGAGCAGACAGGTTATTTTTCACCAACTGTTGTTTAGGCGATTCCTTGCCATTATAAACTGCTGAGCTGAATGCTGCTGTTGAAGGCATGTGATCTATGGCTGCACCTGGCAAGAAAAAAACAAAGTATTTACATTAAACATTTCTAGGTCAGATCCCCAGTTGATATAATAAACTGATCACTTGATCATTTACTTTAACAGAGCCATCGGGATCTTCTCAGAGTGAATGCAATGCTGAACGAAACAAACCCACTTCTGACCTCATACCAGATTATTGCTGCCTGACTCCCAGTTAAGTGCCTGGGTAAAATTGGTTCTGCAGTTAAATACCTATGCCAGATCCTTTAGCTTCTTTGCAGGTGGACCCTACCTCTTAAATGAACTTTACTCGAGAACCAGCTAAAAGAGTAAGCGAGGTTGTTCAAAATTTACTAAAAATCTCCTAAGCATCCATTCCAGTTTGACAACATCTTTCCAAGCTTCTTTTTAACTATGCTGCTTTAAAAAGAGAGGTTGTCTTTAGTTTAATATGCTTGTAATTAATGTAGCTCTTTTGTATGTGTAACCTCTGACAAAACAAATGGCAATCTGCTATTACAAAGATACTAAGGATTTGTTCTGGAGGGGTACCAGTATTCCAGATCACAACTGTTTAACAGGTTTCTGTCTCACAGAGAAAATATAACCACTAACAGATGTGCCTCAGTTCTCCTGAGCAAATCTCCGTAACAGTCACAAGACACTAAAGAGCTGTTTTCGTTACAAGGAAGCTCAGAGAGATCACTCCAGCCTGTATCATCCATCACCTTTCGTATATGTCAAGCTAATGGAAAAGTAAATGTTGCAGAAAGAATTTTTAATACAAAAAAAGTTAGAGATACTGATCTGTAGTATGTTTTTTAATATTAAAGCCACTTCTCTCAGCAGAGGAATAAAGAAGCTTTTAAGCTGATGCCCATATAATGCCTGCAGTCAAGAGGATTCTGGTCATAACACAAGATTGGCTCAGAAGAAAAAGCTGAGATGACGCTGGTTCCTGTAACATTTGTCATCTGTGATCAGACAAGCAACAGCTGGAGGAATGTAATACCTATTCTGAGCAACTTGAGAAATAATGCCTTTTAAAAAATTTTGGTTTGCCTTAGCTGTGAGCAAGCTGCAGAACACCTATTTTATTATTTGCTAACCTTTTATACATAAACCTGAGGGGGAAAATGGACAGCGAGAAGCCTTCAAAGTATGATTGCTCTCTTTAGTTGTAATATCTCTCTAAATCTATTCAACTTGACTTATTTTATGTGGTAGTGTGCTTATTTGTTTGTCTCTCCATTCACATAAGTACACACAAATACACATGCACAGAAGAGTGAGAGTAGGTGGAAACCCAGTGTGTTTTCCTTCTAAGCGGTACCTGTTTGCTGAGTCCCAGCTGGAGCACTTGGGTTTGCTGCTGGAAGGTGCTCACTTGAGGTGCTTCCTGAGAGGCTCGAGCTTTCTGGCAGTTGGAACAGTGTGCTTGAGCAGGTGCTGGATGAAGACTGCCGGCCTCTGAACTCTTAACAAAAAAGAAACTTCTTATCCCCTGACAACAGCGGCATTTGCTTTCTCTCTGCATGTTTAATTTGATAATTTCATATGTGAATTACTTAGAGGCTACAACACTTGGAAAGGAGGAACCAATGTCTTCAGACACGCCCTCATATTAGGTCAGTCAATTACTTTTTACAGCTGCTCTAGTAATCACCTAGCTTTAAAGAGTCTCTTTCAACTGATCTGTCTTAGGTTTTACACAGACGCCAGTCCCTGTGATAGCTAAGCTTGGATGATGAAAACCAGAGCTCGAGGAAGACAGCTTCATTATCTTACCTGCCCCTTTCCAGCAGATTACAGATCCTTTGGTCAGAGCTCCCTGTGCATTCCTGACCAGATAATACTTTAAGTGTTTCTGTTTCTTGGGCTGAGTGGTCAGTTTAAGATTAATGTGATTTGAGAATTCTGTAAAGTAGCAGAAACCCTTCTTGCCACAGCCAACACAATTGCCAGAGAAGCCTGATAAAATAAACAATACATATAATCCAATGAGATAGGTGGGTCACTGTTAATAACATCTAAACATGACTCTTTCCTGGAGAAAAGCTGTATTTATTTTTTTTTTTCACAGAGTGAACTTTTTATTAACATTTTCCTCCGAGCTAATCATTGAATTGACTGTATTGCACTTTGGCTACCAGATTGCAAAAACAGAGCCCCACGTTTACAGAACAACTAAAACAGGCTGTATTTTTCATTTTCTCCCAGCAGAAAAACATCACAATTCCTATTTATTACCTACCTGTGAAACATTAAACCAAGAAGTTTCTGACTGAAGAGTACTGAATCATATGCTTAACCCCAGACCTATTCAACACCAAAGAAAGTACATGCTTTGCTTCTGTTTCAGCTTTCATTGAAATTAAACACACAATTAAGTCTCAAGAAATTAAGGATATTTACTCTGTTATATTTAATTAGATCTAAGTATATTTAAGTACCAAGTTCCTACTACAGATGCGTTCTTAGAGAAGAAAAGATACTAAAGCCTTCCTGGGCTATTAATTTAAAGGACCTTTCTCAAGTTATGGCTGGACTGTGTTAGCACTTCACAGCAGTTCAAACTATTTATGATTGTGAAAACAAAGTGTCTGCAGTTTACAGACAGGACAGAGGCATAGCCCTAGCACGTAAAGAAGCTTATTGTACTCAGGCTTGATGGGGCATTTCCAGGGATACTGCCATTTCCTCTCATTTTGAGATACACAGTTTGACAGAGGGGCTCATGATGGTGATGTCATTATCATAATAAATAAAGGGCATTCCTTGCACAGCTGACTCTCTGCCTTTCGATTCTTAAATAACTCTTTTTGTCCATTTTATAAAGTATTTCCTAGGAGATCTTCATCTTGCATCGGACCAATGCAATTGTCTGAAAATATTATCTACAAAGAAATCCTGTCGTGTGCAATTAGAAGATAAA